CATATATATGTATATATATATGTGTGTATATATTGCAGCATGTCAAAGACAGACCAAGGATGGATCACCCTGGAATCCAACCATATAACTTAAAAGAAAAACATCATCTGTGGTGTAATTATTCTAGAGCATAGCAGTATATATAATCTTGATACTTAATTGTATCTGAATGTAACTTGATGATGTAAGACTCAAACAGTACTATTACTAAGGCCCGAGCAGTGGAAAGATTGCTACCCGTGGCAAATGTGTCATTTCATTCAGTCTTTGTAAGGGCATCACATTAGCCTTCATTATGATGATTTGCTTCTTGGCGGGGACATTGTAGTGCATAATTGTCCTTACCCAGCCACTTCTAAACTGGTTGTGGGCCTCCAAGCTTTTACGATTTTTCATAGCTTTGTGCGTGTAAATTCCCGGCGAGTTGACCAAGTAATCGTAAATCTCAGGCCATTCGAGACTAGGCCACTGGGCTGTACCTATTAGATACTGAAATCTTTTCCCCACTACCTAACCCATTACAAAAGACCCACAATCTTAACCCATCACCGCCGGGGAAAATGAACAAAAAATGGGGGAAATGCAGTACTCATTTTTTATATTTTTGTGAAATATCTCTGTCCATAGATGGCTCTGCTAGTCCTGATTTCACCTTCCCTTGAATTGGCAGAAAAAAAACGTATTTTTACTAGTGCTATAAATATAGATGGTGTTATTTTTTACAGCAAATTAGGATAACGTTAAATATTTTCGTAAATCAATGAAAAGGGTGAATGGGCGAGACAGGCAGTACTTGTAATTGGCTCATTGGATACTTAGTACAAGTGTAGCCATCTATGTGTAAAAACAATCGAACAAGTCGACTCACAGTGGGCATGGCATGTACGTACATGCCATCCCCGGCGGCAATGGGTTAAGCCAAGCCAGTAGAGTCATGCAATTAACACAGTATCAACACCTTCATCACTCCAAGAAAAGGCACCAAATTTTAACCAGGTTAATGAAGTCTACTATATCATAAGTCATTTTGTCTATAGTAAATTCTGATGCATTATAACACCTACTCGACATTTTGGTTTTGCATATACCAAATCTATAATCAAATGCAAACATTATATGGAACCAACAGATTGGTGTATCCCAAGTAATTTTTCTGACAGTAAACATGATAGCACATGCATCCAAAGGTGTTTTCTGACCAACTGCCTGATATTTGTTTATTAGATGATATTTTGTTAGTCTAAACTTTCATCTATAATATATCCACCAATATGTTCATATCATAGTTAGGATTATAATGAATTAATGTGAATGTATCAGTGTGCACAATATACTGTAGGAATGAGTTAATCAATTGGTAGCCTGCGGTCCAAATCCAGACTTTCTGAGTGTTGTAGCGGGACCCTAGGCTCCAGGAGAAAAAAAGTATAATCAAATAAAATGAAGGTCTTGCAATGAATTCTCAAAAGTGTATTTCCTTGACTGACTGTAAGTTAGTGGATATATGGTAACACTGAAATATTTTACATGAATTGCATGTAAAATATTTATCTGGACCTCTGCATATATAGGAACTTGTTTAACTGGATCTTTGTTCATAATAGTGGAGTAGCCTTGCTGTAGGTGAAAGTTTGATATAACAAAACCTTTAATAAATGTATTTTTGGTAAATTGGTCAAAGAACACCTTTGAACATTCATATGATCATATAAATTTACCAATACATGATTTCCATACACTGTTTACCTGGTAAGTTGTTTTCTGTCCTAAATAAAGTTTCATTAAGAGATGTTATAGTCTCCATAATTTGTTCATCCACAAAGGCCAGAAAAACTCCAACCCACATATTCTGACATAATAGAATATGGCTTGTCCCTTATTTGATGAAAAAAAAGGACAAAGAGACTATAAGGATTTGAATCATGAATCATTAAAAGTAATCTTTCTAATATCTTGCTGTAAACTTATATACAAATAACTGCCAATTTTGTTCCTTTACAAGGCAGCATTGTATGTGTGTTCCTACTGTGGAGTTACCCTGAAATTGAGCCCAAATTTTTATAGTAATTTCACATAGGTATCCAACCTTGCAATTATTATTTCTTGTTTCCATCACAAATGATAATAACTGAAAGTGATAGAAATTGTTTACAAAGTAACCTCACACACCTGAAACCCTCCATAAAAAAAACTCCGTTCACAGTATTTCCCATTGCAGGATCTGTCCCCAGACCCCACCCAATTATAATGGACTTAATATACAATATGTATATGTATATGTATATGTATATATATACAATATGTATATGTATATGTATATATATACAATATGTATATGTATATATATACAATATGTATATGTATATGTATATGTATATGTATATATATACAATATGTATATGTATATATATACAATATGTATATGTATATGTATATATATACAATATGTATATGTATATATATACAATATGTATATGTATATGTATATGTATATGTATATGTATATGTATATGTATATGTATATGTATATGTATATGTATATATATACAATATGTATATGTATATGTATATATATACAATATGTATATGTATATATATACAATATGTATATGTATATGTATATGTATATGTATATATATACATATACATATACATATACATATACATATTGTATATATATACATATACATATACATATTGTATATATATACATATACATATACATATACATATACATATACATATACATATACATATACATATACATATTGTATATATATACATATACATATACATATTGTATATATATACATATACATATACATATACATATACATATACATATTGTATATATATACATATACATATACATATTGTATATATATACATATACATATACATATTGTATATATATACATATACATATACATATACATATACATATTGTATATATATACAATATGTATATGTATATGTATATGTATATGTATATGTATATGTATATATATACAATATGTATATGTATATGTATATGTATATATATACAATATGTATATGTATATATATACATATACATATTGTATATATATACATATACATATACATATACATATACATATACATATACATATTGTATATATATACATATACATATACATATACATATTGTATATATATACATATACATATTGTATATATATACATATACATATACATATTGTATATATATACATATACATATTGTATATATATACATATACATATACATATACATATACATATACATATACATATACATATACATATTGTATATATATACATATACATATTGTATATATATACATATACATATACATATTGTATATATATACATATACATATACATATACATATACATATACATATACATATACATATACATATACATATTGTATATATATACATATACATATACATATTGTATATATATACATATACATATATATATACATATACATATTGTATGTATATATACATATACATATTGTATATATATACATATACATATACATATACATATTGTATATATACACATACACATATACATATTGTATATATATACATATACATATACATATACATATACATATACATATTGTATATATATACATATACATATTGTATATATATACATATACATATTGTATATATATACATATACATATTGTATATATATACATATACATATACATATACATATACATATACATATTGTATATATATACATATACATATACATATTGTATATATATACATATACATATACATATACATATACATATACATATACATATTGTATATATATACATATACATATTGTATATATATACATATACATATACATATACATATACATATACATATACATATACATATTGTATATATATACATATACATATACATATACATATACATATACATATACATATTGTATATATATACATATACATATACATATTGTATATATATACATATACATATACATATTGTATATATATACATATACATATTGTATATATATACATATACATATTGTATATATATACATATACATATTGTATATATATACATATACATATTGTATATATATACATATACATATTGTATATATATACATATACATATACATATTGTATATATATACATATACATATACATATTGTATATATATACATATACATATACATATTGTATATATATACATATACATATACATATACATATACATATACATATACATATTGTATATATATACATATACATATACATATATATATACATATACACATACATATTGTATATATATACATATACATATTATATATATATACATATACATATCGTATATATATACATATACATATTGTATATATATACATATACATATTGTATGTATATATATATATATATATATATATATATATATATTGTATATATATACATATACATATACATATACATATACATATTGTATATATATACATATACATATACATATACATATTGTATATATATACATATACATATACATATACATATTGTATATATATACATATACATATACATATACATATACATATACATATACATATACATATACATATACATATTGTATATATATACATATACATATTGTATATATATACATATACATATACATATTGTATATATATACATATACATATACATATACATATACATATACATATTGTATATATATACATATACATATTGTATATATATACATATACATATACATATACATATACATATACATATTGTATATATATACAATATGTATATGTATATGTATATGTATATGTATATATATACAATATGTATATGTATATATATACAATATGTATATGTATATGTATATGTATATGTATATGTATATATATACAATATGTATATGTATATGTATATGTATATGTATATATATACAATATGTATATGTATATATATATATATTATATATATATATATATATATATATATATATACATAATCTTCAAATCTCATCTCATGCCCAACAATCTATAGCAGTGTATATATAATTTATTCCAAAAAAAGTTGTCTGACTTTGAAGTAAATAGCATTTCCTATTGACATTCGAGACTGAGACTGACAAGCGGATTATACCCTAGTTATTTCTCTTTTATCGCATTACTCTTCTGCCATTAGAGGAAATTAAGCTCTTCTCTCAATAGGGCAGAAAAAAATAAAATCGAAAGCCTCTAGAATAGAATAACGACATAAAGCGTAATGAAAGGGATATAGCATAAGTTCCAATACTCCTTTCCCTAGAGGAAGGGCAGCATCTATGTATACTACTCATTTCCTCGCAAAAAACGTGACAAAGAGCTGATAAAAATCCTCATAACTTACCGGCGATTTTAAAGGGATCTCCTCATAAATCCTTCCTGAGTGATTAACTTGATAGAGAGTGATAAAATCCCGACTTAATCCGGGAAATTTTTGTTCCTCTGCGTGAGTCTAGTGACGCCGTAAAATTGCCAGCAGTCATTTCCATCTCTCACTTTTTGGGGTTTATTTCCATCTGCTTCTGTTTTTATTTTTTTAATTTTGTTTTGCGGTGGCTAGATACACCATGGAAGACAATGGTATAATTTCTAACAAAGTTTGACATTTAAATTTTTCCTCATAAAGTAATTTCCTGCTGGGTTTGCCTGAGGTACGATGACACGTCTACTTTATTTGATATATAGAAAAGATGTAAGTTTCCTCTTCATTATATTCGTTACCGATGAATAAACTCCATTATTTATCTCAGCTTATGGAATATGAACAACCAAAGATTGTCCAAGAAAGTAAATCAAAGTAACATCGGTCTTGCGGCGTTACCCACAGAGGGACGCTTGGCTCTGCCGCATTCACACTTTGTTAATACATGCCTGGAAATACATCAAACTTTGAATTATTCAAGAACCTTCTTGTTTGCATTGTTATATGGCCGTGATATTTATGATTTTTCCTTCCACAGTCTCTTAAGAGTTGCCTTTGGATGAAGAGTGCAAGGAAAGTAAGAAATGCTGGGATGCGTTTGATTATATTAATTTAAGATTGGGTTATTTTTCTGTTTAAAATCATTACATTCAAAGATAACTAATATTTTACATTGTTATAATATCAGAAAAAAAGTCAAAGGATAATGACCATCAAAGACTTCTGAAATAATATGTCCATAACTGTACTGGTACATTATATTTACTTACATCTATATTCTTATATTCATATAGACCCCTACAAGTGTATATACATCTGTGTGTGCATATGTATCGTATATATGTTCAGCTAGCTAAACGTATATATATATATATATATATATATATATATATATATATATATATATATATATATATATATATATATATATATATATATATACATGTGTGTGTGTAATATACATACATTTTATACTATACGTAAATATATATATATATATATATATATATATATATATATATATATATATATATATATATATATATATATGCATACATAAATATATATTTAAATATATAAATATATAATATACATATATTTATATATAATTTACACAATAGTTTCGCTTAACATCCTCTATGACACATATATGAAGGGATTATGCCGCGGACCCCCCCCCCCCAAAAAAAAATAATAATAATAATAATAATAAATAAATAAATAAATAAATAAATAAATAAATAATAAAAACAAATAAAAATTAAAAAAATCTTGGCCGCGATAGCTGCCAAGACCCGCGATGTAAAACGAATCTCCCGGACTCACGCACGAGAGTGTCGGGCAGCCTCGGCATCGGGGGCTCCCGCATGTCGCGCTACCCTGCCGTGAATGCGTGGAGGATTCTTGTCGTCCATTACGGACGTTGGGGGAGGCAGCCTTCCAGTAGGAGGGTCACAGGGGGTGTCGTGGGTTGATCACCACAGCTGATTACTTTACTTGATTAAAAGAAAGCAATCAAAGAGAAGAGGCGAAGGAAGTCGAGGCGCAAATTCCAGTTCCAACAGGGCATCGGCATTCATAATGGCTGTCATAAATGATGCTTAAAAAAATGCATAATCCGCCATATTTACCTAACCTGAACACATGTGATGTTTACTTACCATAATTGTAAGCGGACTTTATCAGTTTCTCTATGGAAAGTGATGGTAGTATCATCTTGTATATAACTTTCAGTATTCTACAATTTCATATACTTTATTTCTTGTTAACGAACTTCTACTGATGCTAACGACTGCCATACATAGGACTATCCTATTCAATTTGTTTACTCTTGTATCTGCTGGGTCCTGTTGTTGAAAATCCATTGAGAAAGCCTCCCTATTTAATTTGTTGGAGATGCGGTTTGTTATGACCTTTGGGAACAGTTTATAGTTAATAGAGGAAGCTTAAAGGGTAGTAATTATTTATATTCTTTGCGTGTCCTTTTTGTGCATCAGAATTATCATTGTAGTTTTCTTTTCGCCATTTTCGAGTTTCACCAGTGTTAAAACAATTATTTAATAGATTAGTGAGTTTTACTACTACATTTTCTACTGCATCTTTTGTAGGAGCTGGCGTTTTCCCTCTCTCCCTAGCTTTTAATGCTCTTTTGATTTCCTTTTCTGTTATTAATAACGTCATTTACTTTCATCTGTGCTTGGTCGTAAGAATTGTATACATCACCATAACGTCTCTTCTCCGTCGGATTTCTTTAGTGCACACATTTAATACTTCCTTACTCTGAGTTTCCTTTAGTTGTCTGGTGCCTAAGCGCAGTGACCCTCATTTGCCTTTTCTCATTTCTCATCAAAAGTTTATTGAACCTTTGCCTCTCGTTGTTGCAACCTACTAGAAATTGTCCTGTATTATCTCAAGATCGTCATCGATAACCGAATATCTGTTTTAGATGTCAAGGTAGATTATATAACGCTGATGATCTAGATTAAGATGCGGCTTTTACAAGTGTTTATTCTGTCCCGTCTGAGATTTCACTTTTATTTCAAACCTTTAAATACATTAGAGTTACATTTACGTTGTAATTCTAGCATATGGTCCCGATTATAATTATGCATTTTATATAATCCCTAATACCGGGCATGTTCACGTTCTTTTATTTTATGACTCCGTAATATTGAGGGATCTAGCTTCGGCAAAGCCTATTTTTATTTATCGTTTCTGATAGGTATTCCGTGGTTCCCATTTGAGATTTTTCCTTCAACCCTCTCTGCTATATTGGCAATAAAGTCCCCATAATTATGATAAAATTAGTATTTGCTCTATTCAGAGATGCTATATATATATGGGCATATACATAAACAATTTGTTTTCAGGATGGACCTTTCGTTTAATCTTAATTTTACGGAAACCATTTCTTCCCTCACATTTTTTTCGAGGCACCTGTGAACTCAGCCACATATCCTTTATTCTTACCTGCTATTCTGAGGTTTACTTCTCCAGTATAACACATGACCAACATTGGTGTTTTCCGTTCTTCCCCTAAACAGCTAACTACAAAAAGTCATACGTCATTATATATTCTCAAACTCTTTTGTTCATCAATCCCTTAATGAAATGTCAGAACTTTCATCGATCAGGAGTCATACTCTTTTAATGGAACAATACATAATATTATGTTGAAATAAGGTAACTTCGTTGGAATCAAAACAAGGATTTTAATGTGTATGAAAGTACGACAGGAGGTTTAATTATTACTGTAACTGAAGTTCTTTACCCAGTAGTGGTTAAAACATCTGGTCTGCATAAGACCTTTTCTGCCGATGGACGGCCACGCACTTTCTCACATTCTCACACATCACACATCACAAACATCACACACACATCACACACACATCACAGACACACACACACACACACACACACACACACACACACACACACACACACACACACACACACACACACACACACACACACACATATTCACACTTAGTAAGCATGGATGGGTAAATGTGTGTCTGAGTGTGACCACCTATGGACAGGTGAGGTGACTTCGCATGATTTCATCCTCTTTGCAAACGAGCCTTCAGAAACACCAGACACATACATGGACTTTAATGAACCTATTGTGATTCCCCAAAACGTGAGGGACTCTCCAATACGCACCTCTCATTTTACTTTACTCGGTCAGATGGTTGTTGATGTTCCTCGCGGAAGAACGTAAACATATTTCCCTGGAACTGGGACTGCTGAACCTTCTTTTGCTGTATTATGAACATCATCTGCTTGAGCAGCATTTGAACCAGATCCCTTATTTCTCAGTTGGATCCTTGCTTGCCCTGCAGCAGTTAGCGCTGAGCTGGAGCTGAGGTGTTGGAGTTGGTACTGTGGATAGTGCCATCGCTTTTGTAGGTGATCTCTGAAGGTGTGGGAATTCCCTCCACATCATAAGGAGAGGGATAGATAAATTTCTTTGGGGAAGGGCTGCCTCCCTTTTATTTTGGGGTGTGGGGGGCTGTCAACATACCCTTCCTTTGGATAATATGCGCATAATGGGGAATGTGCATTTTGCTCTTGGGGTCATTTTACGTGTTTCTGAGGGACATTTTTGTCTTCAGAAATCTTTTCTGTACGTGCTCCGTGACCTTATTTTGATCAAAATGAGACTAACTGGATCAGCTGTGCCATATCATGATATATATTTGTTATGATGACTCTCTGGATCATCATTCCCTTTACTTTCATTCGCCTGGCATGTATGACGCGTTCATTGTACGATGCCTCTAATCCTGTCATGACATTATGATTTCATCTGGTACATCGAACACATGAATGTTCGTACATTTCCCTTTCCCCTAAGCACTTCATCATTTTCATCAGTTCTTATATGTGGGGAGAGAGAGAGAGAGAGAGAGAGAGAGAGAGAGAGAGAGAGAGAGAGAGAGAGAGAGAGAGAGAGAGAGAGAGAGAGAGAGAGAGAGAGAGAGAGAGAGAAAGAGAGGCGCGCGCGCGCACATGAAAAAACACACACACACACACACACACACACACACACACACACACACACACACACACACACACACACACACACACACACACACACACACACACAATGCATAGAGATATATTATGCAGGTTTAAGTGTATGAAAATAGTTAAGATAGAATAAAGCTTTGCCTAGTGAAATCATTTAATCTCCTGCATACCCTTTAAATCAAAATGCTTCTCAATAAGACACGTTTTTTTTTTATACATGGACTGATAAACATAAAAGTAGTAGGTTTATAGAGGAAATGGAGGAACATCTATTGAAAATTTGACAAAGATTGTGATCATAAGCTATATTATATTTAACTCATTCGCGACGGTTGTCACGTATACATGACATGCCCACTGTGAGTTTACTTGTTTAATTGTTTTTACACATTGATGGCTACACTTGTACTTGTACTGCCTGTCTCGCCCGTTTACCCTTTTCATTAATTTACAAAATATTTTACGTGTTTATAATAAAAATAACCATCGATATTCATAGCACTAGTAAAAATACATTTTCCCGCCAACTCAAGTAAAGGTGAAATCAGGTAAGGCAGAGCCATCTATGTGTAGGGACATTTCACAAAAAATATAAAAAATGAGCAAAGCATTTTCCCCATTTTTTGTTCCTTTTTACCCGTTGCGAATGGGTTAAGGAAAAAATCTTTACATTTTTAAAGATTATTGTACTTTTATTTTATAAACACTTTTCTAGACTATTGTCTTTCTAAAAATACACCCCAGAATTTTTTTGTCTGTTTAATAATTTTCTTTGTTAATTTATTATTACTATGGCAGTGTTATAGCAATGTATCTCAGTTTTCCTTTTGCTAGACTGCATCTTTTAGTAGGTACAAACAAAAGAAAAAAGGCTTTTGATCCCCTAAAAATCTAAATAATCATAAGGCCTATAATCTTGTCAGCCAAAAGTGATACCTGTTTTATTTCATGAATTTTGATAAACTGCCCTTTTATTAGAGGATAAGATGTTTTCATAATTATATATATATTTTTTTTTTACAAAAGTTATTGCTATTGGTATAGTTTTGTAATCCACATTTTCATTATCAAGGAGTGTATGAAAAACAGAGAAAATTCAAAATTATTTATTTTCATATTATTGCCACTGTGGTGCATAACTGTATAGAAATTAAACAGATTGTCTAGTGTATAAATTCATAGACATAGGAACATGGAATTATTTACATTTTAAGAAACAGTATTTAGAAGATATATAGAAAATCATGCTCACTGCAGTCAATATATACATGAAAGCACAATATATAAACTATTTACAACATGTGTACTCTATACACACTGAAATACTGTTTGTATCACAACGCATCTAGCCACTCTGCCAGGGCGTCAATTTCTAAGTAAAAATATTTATTACTACATACATACAGTCTCTCTCATATATAACATTTATAATATATATGAACTACCTGGAATGGCACACTTCTTTTCATTAACATTTTTGTACTGTATAAAAGAATAATTTCCCAGGCATTGAGGCACTTGCCTTTGTCCTCTGTGGCTGTCTGGTTTCCAGCTATCACCACTGAGGACTTAAAATTAGACATGGGAAAAAGTTCAAGCTATGCCATGCCAAATTATTTGATTTTATATAGTTTTATACTATAATGTACAAGTGAAGATAGGCATTTACAATATCCTAGAGGAAAAATATATTCATAATTAAATCGTCTTAAATTAGACTCATCAATATATATATATATCCTTGGGATTTCTGGTGATAACAAAAATCATCCACCCCAAAAAATTTCCATTAAACAAAACTGATATTGAATTTGTCATGGCTTTGTCTGGTGATGTGGATGGGTGCGTCATTAGAATGTAGAGCATCATCATCACTTGTGGATGAAAAGGTGGGTGGGTTGAGGAGGTGAAGTTGGCGGGAGGGCGGCCGAGGAGGAGGCCCTCTGGTTCCCCCCAACTTTGGCTTTGGGGGAAGAGGAGGAGGTGACAGCAGAAGAGAAGGTGGAGGCATTCTGGAAACTGCTGAGACTGTGGAGTTTTCCATGGGTATAGGAGGCGGTGGGGAGAAATCAGGGGCATCTATGTGCAGGGAGCTGGAGGTGGTCTCAGGCATGGGTACCTGGCAGAGAGATTCATCGCCCTGGAGCGTGTCATCAAAGTCATCCAGGTCTATGTCAGGTGCGAGAAGCGTGGCGTTAGCCGAGTGTGGGCCTGAATTGGTTGGAATGCCTCCCCAGACCTCAGGGTGAGCCATGCTGAAGTAGTCCTCAGCTTCCTGGTGGCTTGGTATAACACCTCCTTCTGAGAAGGAGCATTCCAGGTGCGCTAACAGCTGATCAGCCAGATGTGCATGCTGGTTCTCCTTGTCCTGTACAGGAATAATGTTTTAGTTTTCGATATAAAATGAAAAATAATATAAAATGTCAAATAAGTATTTACCTCACAAAATATGAAAACACCAAGAGTAAAATATTTGTTGTGCATATTTCATTTTATATGTTTTTAAGGCCATGCATTCTTTAGATTAAAACAAAGTTAAGAAATGTACTTTGATACTTCAGTTACATAACATCTTTTCATGATTTATAATATAATGCAGATAGATTACAGTTTCCATCTTTAGAATCTTAACTAAACATAACTTAATTTAAAAAAACATGCAAGTAAACAGCAATTTTTAAAAATAGGACATTTATAAATAAATATATGAAAAACTGAGAAATTAAAGACTGAAGGCTACTTCCACAATTTTCTTCAGTCACCTTTCATGCTTTTTAAACCAAGAATATAATAAGCAAGAGGATATCGTAAGTCAAAAGGATGCATTCCTCTGTGCTCATAAAAAGGTTTAAAGTCCTCTGCTACCCACCTGGTTGCAGACATGAACGACAGAAAATCCCAAGGAATCCCAAAGGGTTAAAGATTAAGAGTTAGTAACCTGAAAAGACAACATACAACATGCAGTACAAGTAAAGAACAAGACATTCAGATAAAGAGTAAAGTTTATTATTTTCAAAACTGATGATAAAGGTTTTGCTAGAACTGAAGGTTCAATGAACTTTATAAACTAATAACCAATATCTAAATATACAAGATTTGAAAAACTTAGAATTATCAAAACCTTTATCAAAAGTCTTTCTGTTAGAAACTGTGTTCTTGTGTTTGCCAAATCTATCAGAAAACACTTGAGCCTTTACTAAAAACACTAATCTTAAAGCAGCCAGTTCAACAGATTAAAGCCAACTGAATCATTCACTACTTAAAAGTGTTAATGATTTACCTAGTCAGAAAAGTGCATTAACATGCCTTTAAATTGTAATTATATACAGATAGACTACAGAAGGCAGAATGACAGAAAAGTAGCAAGTTGAATGAAAAATAAAAATTAGTATTAATGATGTCACTGAAGCCTTAATTTATAATAAACAGATAGAACTACCTTCCAAGAATAGAATGTTCTTTACAATGTACTGCACCTGACCTGTAACAATAGGAACAACAGTAATGGAGCAATAGACTAATCAATATGAAGAATATACAATTACATAAACTTGGAATGATTTTCCTTTAAATTCCTGCATGCATCATATTAGTTTGAAATCTTTAAGGAGACTGATTTTGCATTCAATAATAAGATGAGATCACAGGAGTTTCATTAGATCAAACTTCCTAAATGCTATCTATCTCCTCTAAAAGTAATAAAGTATCTACCACTTGCAAAATTACGTCTAGATTATCTAGTCATACTATAACCATAATAGAAAAATGCATGGAAGGAGTCCGTAAGAAGACAGACTGTATCAGGCAACAGCAAGAATAGGCCTAAACCCTTTCAGTGTGCAAGTTCCTTTAACCTTGAAGGACACAAGCACCCTGCTTGATCCCACCTCATGGTGTGCAATATTTTCTTTTCAACTTCTCATTAGCACTCTTCAATTACAAGCATCAACGTATGCAACCAGGGCATCATTTGAGGAAAAGAAGAAGAAATACAAATGAACTTAGGCCAGTCAGAACAGTAAATTGCAACCAGGTTTTTTACAGTCTGTGCTGGGACTTGCACACCATGGGTTAAAGGCATCCATCCCAAAAGAAACCAAAAGGGAAATGAAATACCCCTACACTATTTTATTAAATAAAAATTGGATTGAATAAAAATCAGATTCTACTAGAGACAGAAAAAAGAAGGGTACAAATCCTCAAGATAATATTTATCTTTGAGGTTATACATAAAAACAGGTGTTGTGTGTAAAAGATAAAAAAGGTGTTTGTGGACATTAATAAAAAAGAGACCTACAAAGTTTACCTTATGATTTGTAATACCATCAGTACTTAAGATCAAGTGAGTTACACCATATTATGTGATCTTCTAGTTATGTGACAAAAGACAAACACCAGTCGTACACAGTACACAGACGTTGAACAATGCCCATCAAAAGGGTTAGAATAATATCTCCCAAATATACTATGTACATGCTCTGAATAAGTGAAACCTCATTCTGTGGTATCTTATCCATGACAATTGTACTCTCTATATAAGAATTGCTCAATGAGAATGAGGTTTCACTAAGTATCAAGAAGGTATCTACAGTGGGTGGTTCCACTGACTCACCTGAGGTTGGTCACACTTGAGAAAATCAGGCAGTTCAAAATTAATTTCTGTCCCTCTTTGGTCATCTAGGCGGCTCCTCTGAGCACGTTTCAGTCCTTCATATAACTCTGGGATGAGAAAAAAGTGATAGTCAATAGTGGCATGAATTTGAAAATGAAGAAAAATCTTCAGAATCTTTGTTCCTTTAAAGTCCACTTTAAGGAAATTATACCTTGTTAGAAAGCAAAAGTTTAATTCAACTACAAATATTCTGGGAACTAACCATCATTCTCTTGTTTTGCATTGGCTGGGTTGTTGCCACGCCGCTTTGTGACTATTGCATGCTCTGGTGGTGGCATCATCCCTCGCACACCAAGGTTTTCGTGTACACTTGACCTGCTGTTGGGTTTTCTTGGTTTCTTGTTTGACTCCTGAAATAGAGGGACAAGTGACTCTCACATAACAGAATATAAATATACACTGAAAAAATGTAACAATGATAAAATAAAAAAGTAAAGAAAAAATGCGAGTCAATAAAAATTTCACCTATTTACAGAAATTAACACTTTCTGTTTCTAATAACACTGTATTGCAGTTATATATGAGCTGAAGGGTTTCTTCATCTATAGTACAAAGAGAAACTCTTACCTTATCAGGTGCCAGGGAATTTCTCCTGCTGAAGCCGCCCAGGATGCCAGATGATCTATCACTGCTTCTGTCCGTCTGAAGGAAAAAGTCCATATTTTACCATAAAATATTCAGATTCTTGAAGAAGGTTGAGGCTTATAAATTTAAAATTACTTGAAACTACTAGTGAATATTAAATCACACACATTGCTATTTTCAACTTACTCTGGAAGATCTGGCATCAAAATCTAGGACACCAAGTTCATCAAAATTTTGCTCTGATTTTCCGTTCAACAGATCCTCAAAGACGCGGTTGGTGATTTCATCTAGACTGCCTCTCTTTTTTTGACGAGCTGGTTCTACTCCCCACTCTGCAAAAAAATCAGTACAAATTTTAATAAGACAGTTGGGAGCAGAGAGCATTATATCATTTGATACTCCTATGGTGATAAATATTACATTTGCGTCTTGGTCTTTATGCTAATAGATGTAATGCTAAAAAATATTAAGCAGCAATAAATACATAATACCCTCCTGACACTACTTCTTGAAACTGAACTATTTAAAGAGAAAATTATCAACACAACCTACCTTTCACTTCCTCCTTGGTCTGTACAACTAGCCTATCTCCATCCAACTCATTCACATGGCACTTTAGGTTAACTCCTTTTTCTTCTCCAACCTGAAAAAAACAATAAATATGGTTATAAAGTCAACAGGAAGATAAAAACTTGAGTCTTTGAAAACTGTAACTGATATACACAGGATTACTGTCACTGTTGATTTTTCCAAAAACACTAGAAATACAATGAGGTTCTTCAAAAGCTGATATGTTGAGTTCTGTACTTGAAACAATCACTCATCATTATTGAGCTCTCAAGACATACATGTAAATAAAACATATAATGTTTTGTGAAAAAAACATGAAACATTAATATGAAATATAAATACTCATTCTTACCCTAAAATCAAATGTGTTTCTGAAACTCACCTTATGAATGGTCATGAGGTCGAGCTTGTAACCATACTTGTGCAGAATCGGTTTAAGAACTTCATTTGCAAGTTTATTTGGTTTAGCTTTAACACATACAGTTTTGCGGTTGGGAAGGTCCAGACGGAAGAGAATCCTCTGTTCAAGCCTGACCTCTAGTCCTCCCAGCACAGAGCTGTCCTCTGTCTTCTCCATCAGCTTGTAGGCAGGAGACTAAAGTGAGTAAACACAGGCAACACGGTGAAAGAAATGGTAAAGTACATCATATCTTTTGTCAAATTTTATGTAAAAAGACTGTCATATTGCAATAGATTATTGGTCAGTACCTTGTCTGATTTGTGTTGATACACATCAAAGGTAGAATAAGAGATTCCTCGGCGTTCTAATAGCCTCGTCAATAGCACCTGTATGGACTCCCCAGGACGAACTGCCACAACAGAGTTGCTGAGATCAGGCAGAATGACGCGACATCTGTTGCAGCCTTCACTTCCACTTAGGCTTCCAAGCTCACCACTTGTAAGGGACTGTAGAGTGATACAGAAATTTTTCAGTTAGTCAGTACAAAGAAACAGACATTGCCTCACAGTAATCATGGTTTTCATACATTAACTAGATCTATCATAAAAAATAATAATTTTCTTATTCTTAAAAAATTCTTGAGTCATATCTTATCACTTACATATACTAAATAGCTTATCACTCCTAGCCTTTTATCAACTTAAAAAGACAAAGTAATCCAAGTCATCTATGTATGAAGTAGATTTGCCACACAATACTGTATCTTTCAAGTTTAGTTTAACATGCAAAGAGGGTATTCCAACAGCATCTGTCAACCAAAGTTTTAGTATTCAACTCACAGAAAACTATGATGGGGAAATCCTGAGACAGACAGGCATGTAAACAGAGGGAAATAATACTACTTACTTCTTTGGACACAGCTCTTCTACCAAGCGCAATATCAGAGGAATTGAGAGACGTTCGGCTTCCACTCATATCCGACCGAACACTGGAGGATTCAGAAGGGTTCCGTTGGCCCATCTTCTTCCTCCGTCTGTATTCTGCTTCTCCTCTGTCCTTGCTCTTGCTGCGGTCCTTTCGGTGCCATGGCAAGAGGGATTTCCTGCGCCGTTCATCAGCATCGGATTTGCTCTTCTTTAGCTGCAGTGTACATAAGCCAATCAGCATTATAAACTCCTCCAATTAATTGCTACTGTATAAATAAAATAATGTAGATAACTCACAAAAGAAATTCTTTCATTCCTAGCTCACAACCAACAAACCTTCACATGGGAATCCTCTTGAACAATCCTAAGGTCAGAGTCAAGTGTTTCATCTCCCGGGTATGGCAGAGTCTGGCCCCTTATGTCTCGTGATACACAGTCCTTGTACAAGTTTGACTTTAAGAATCGTGAGTAACTGTCAAACTTCATGAGATTGAAGATTTGCTTCTGTGCCTGTAAAGAGATCATTTACATTCTTCATTAAATGATCATAAGCAAGAAAAAAAAAATACTCCACAAGAAAATTAACTCCAGATATAAGAGTTAAGTAAATCTCATAGATTGGTACTAAAAACAAACATTTTGATAACTTATTCTGCATTTTACTAGAGAAAAAGCAGAACTAATTCAATTGAATAATACATGGAACAAGAGTGCTTATCATGCTGATGAATACTGACAGACAAAATTCTCAAGCTAGCCTTCTAAAATTCTTACCTGTGCAAAGAGGAATTCATTAGGAGAATGCAGACCATCTTGAGCATCCTGTCTTGCCTGGGAGTCAACATTGACAGGTTCTGAAGCGCCAATGCACAAATGTCTCTCAAAGATCTCTTTGGCCATGGCACGTAGTTCATCGGGGTTGGACAAGCGCTTGTATCGCTCACAGGCAGTCCAAAAGTAAATGTTTTCATGACTATATTCTTTTTTCAGGAACTCCTGTTAATATACAAAGATAAAAAGTTTTAATAATCTAACACTTACAGACTGCCAAGGGAACCAAAAGCAAAGTTTCTCCTCACAAAAGATGCCTAACTTTGTCTTTTAGTATAGCATAAAGTTTGAATGTACTCAATGGAATTAAGAAATTCAAGTATGGGCATAATGAACACAAACGTAATGTTCATAAATATCCTGCAATATCTATAATGAAACAGTCATAAATATATACTTACAGCAAAAGTGTGTAACCCTGCAGGGTCTTCCAAGAGCTTCTCAAAGGAAGTGGCCCAAGCACCCACTCTCCCAACATCAATTCCTCTCTCTGATGAAACGCTGCCTCCTACTGAACCACAGTCCCCATCTAGAAGACTATGTGGGGCAGATATCTAAAAGAAAAACAAATATATGTATAAATATATGTGTGTGTGTGTGTGTGTGTGCTAGAAGGAACCTGAACTCAAGTACTAAAAATAAGTACATGGCAAAAGGGACTCTATGTATATGGCAATATAACTATTTGCCAAAGAACTATCTTTACACTACAATATTGCATATTCAAGTATTAAATTTCAGTTTATCAAAACATTTACACATAAACATAACAGATAAAGTGATAGTATGAGTATGATATGATCTTATGTTATATCTCTTGAAAAGAAGTTTAAACTTAATATTATTGTTTCTACTGTAATATTACGGCATTACTGATGGTCTTGTGACAATAATCAAAGACTATAACCATGTAAAAACATTTTGAATGAAGCTCAATGCATTCCCTTAAATACTAACCTTCCCAATCTCAGTATCTGAGTGTGCAGATGGATCCTGCTGGTGGCCACTATTGTGACTGGAATGGTGGAAAGTGCGACGAAGAGAACTACTGCGTGTCCATTTTTTCTCCACTCCTCCATCAACCTGCAATAAAAAATAAATGGAATTAGTTTCAATTCTTCTACACAGGGTGATTAAAAAGATTGAATTACAAGGTATTCTAGTGAAAAGAAGACTTACCCATCTAATGAATAACAAGATTCATATGCCCATATATGATATGACCCAGGAACACAAACTCACCACAAGGGTTTCCATAGACCGACTAATACCAGCTGGAGGCTTCCCTGGATCTAAGCTTGCAGCTATAACCATACTTAGCCTCTTGTCCTTCCTGAGGGACTGAGTGTGCAAGTTAGAGTCCCTTCGAATAGTCAAAAAATGGTCCAAAAGCAGGCTTCCGCGTCCTACTGTGTTTTCTTCCACAGTCACTGACATTTCCTCACCTAGACAACTACTGCTTACTGACCTACAGTCCTCATCCCCACTGTGGGAGTTATGGCTGGCCTTACGACAGCTGTCACAGTGACCAGTGTCCTCACAGTCAGCATAGTGGAGAGGAGACTCTGCTCTGGTCTCTGTTGCTTGGGACAGGGTCTCCTCTAGGCTGTCTGGGTCAATAGTCTCATCCCCACTTGAGGAGAGGACCTCATCAGATGTCTCTGTCACCTCTGATATGGCTGGCAAGTTCTCCATTATAGTTCACAGGCAACAACTTTTGCTTCATAAAATATCTGAAGATTCCATTCATTGCAGTAAAACCATAATAAATATGCCTCAGTGTCCAAGTCTGACAGCTGCACAAGATCTTGCACATTTTCACCTAAGGAGCAGCAACCTGTTACCCATTTGCAACTGGATTTTATAAACTCAAAAGAGAAAAAAGCATGACATATATACCCAAAAAGCAAGTCTTTTATATATGCATAGCTTCTGAACATCCTTTGCAAAATAGTCAAACACCCATCCACCTTCAACAACCTCCCCTTCATTCTGACAACAGCAAATATTCAACATCTCTTTATCCAAAAACATAATTCAAATATATATCATTATGAATTTATGTTCATGCTTCACCTAAACTACGCCATCATTTGCCTATTGCTTAATTTCTGTTTTAATATTGTAAAAACAACAAACACACTCTCTCTCACCATCAAATTTGAAAATACGGTAAAATATCTTATTTAAGAGTCAATCTGATACATATCTTTACCCCTAAAGATAAGTTGCAGTCAAGGTTGGACCGCTTAAATATAAACCGGGGCCTCACTGCCAGACTCACTTCTTCTGACCTGTGAGGATAATAATATTTCAGAAACACACCTGTGTTTATAAACTCCCATACATATATCTCTACAAAGAAAGCTTCAAAATAAAACAGCTGGCGCCGTTCCCAAGGACACGTGTTCCCTTGCCATGGCAGTAACCTTCTCAGCCACCACTAAGGATAATGTGCTTGTTAACCAAAGGGGAACTGCAGGCTGATACTGTTGAAAAGAATATGCAAAGCAACAAAGACACCAACAACCATACAAATATAAAGACATACACACACGCAGAAGCGCGCGCGCGCACACACACACACTCACACACACACACACACACACACACACACACACACACACACACACACACACACACACACACACACACACACACACACACACACACACACACACACATACACACACACACACACACGCACACGCACACACACGCACACACACACACGCACACACACGCGAGTGGGTGAGTGAGTGAGTGAGTGAGTGTTTATCTATCTATCTACTTATTTGTGTGTATGTATGTATAGATGTATGATTGTATATATGTAGATATATACGGCTGGAGACTCTATGTGCAGGCGCAGTGACTCAAGCCGCTCAAAGCCAGCAGAGTCGCGAGAAATAAGCCCAAGGAGCGGAAATGGATAAAAAGTGGTTTAGATAGACCATGCATGACGTGAACAAGTTATCTCTTAGGGAGCGGTGCGTGGGGGAGGGGAAGGGAGGGGAGGGGAGGCACGGCACTGCCACATATGGAGACCGAGACCGTTGGACTCTCAATGAACTCACATAGGGAGAAACGAAGCGTAAGTGTATAAATTGCAGTTTGTGTGTACAGTATGAGTTAGTGAATTCATATTTAAGCAAAAGTTCATACAGATATGTGAAAACATACATGCATGCACGCGCGCACACACACACACACACAAAACACACACACACACACACACACACACACACACACACACACACACACACACACACACACACACACACACACACACACACACACACACTAATAATAATAATAATAATAATAATAATAATAATAATAATAATAATAATAATAATAACAAAAATAAAAAGCATGAGAAGGGGAGCGAGAGCAAGGGTGGTTGTCACTTGAGTGATTTTCGCCGCAACTCCGCGCGCCGCCCCGCCACCCACACAGCACCATTCCGGCAGTGCAATAACCGCGCCAGGACTGCACCCTCGACGCAGCCCTCAGCTTCCCGTATCATTCTCTACATCCATGGCCGCGAAAGTGTCTTAAGGGTGGGGCTGCTCGTGGCGTCGGCTGATAAGTCGTCTATTGCATTCTAGCTCAAAGGCAACTACAGTGGCTGGTCATTGCACACGAGGAAGAGGAGGTGGAGGATGCTCATGTGTGCTGAATATATATATATATATATGTGTGTGTGTGTGTGTGTGTGTGTGTGTGTGTGTGTGTGTGTGTGTGTGTGTGTGTGTGTGTGTGTGTGAGAGAGAGAGAGAGAGAGAGAGAGAGAGAGAGAGAGAGAGAGAGAGAGAGAGAGAGAGAGAGGGAGGGAGGGAGAGGGAGGGAGGGAGGGAGGGAGGGAGGGAGGGAGGGAGGGAGGGAGAGGGGGGGAGAGAGGGGGGGAGAGAGGGGGGGAGAGAGAGAGGGGGAGGGAGAGAGAGAGAGAGAGAGAGAGAGAGAGAGAGAGAGAGAGAGAGAGAGAGAGAGAGAGAGAGAGAGAGAGAGAGAGAGAGAGAGAGAGAGAGAGAAAGAGAGAGAGAGAAAGAGAGAGAGAGAAAGAGAGAGAGAGGGAGGGAGGGAGGGAGGGAGGGAGGGAGGGAGGGAGGGGGGAGGGAGAGGGAGGGAGAGAGAGAAAGAGAAAGAGAAAGAGAGAGAGAGAGAGAGAGTGTCAATGCGGGTTGATTATAAGACCTTCCGCTTGATCTTTTGTCGCAACCCCCGAGGTGTCTTGTGCCACAATACAAAAACACTTCTGACAACATACAGTCCTGACATGCTAACAATATCAAAAACAGGATTTTACTTGGACATCAGTACCACATTTGGTAAAAGAACTAGTCGTCCCAAACGGGAAAATCCAATTCCCTTTCAAAATGTGGTGTTACAGTTTCAAGAACCAAACAACTGCACCCCCCCCCACACACACACACACCAAACAAAACATGAGCCAGCAAGGCCAACCCCCCTTGAGTATATCTCCCGTCCCCACCTGCGGATAGTAATTACATTCGCAACCGCTGACCCCCCCCCCCCCCAGGGAGACGAGGACGGCGAGACTAAAACAAATACCCGCGCACTGCTTTCCCCAATCACAGTGCAGCCCCCCCCCCCTCCTTCTCTCTCTTCCTACCCTCACTTTTCTTCCAAGACAAAACACACCACTGCGAAGATAAAAACAGCTCGAACCAACACAACATGAAGTCAATAGTAATGATCGAAGAGTTTTATTCCCCGGCATTCGCATTTACATAGTGTAATCACCCGACACATTCCCCTGTAAACATCTGCACTGGCAGGCAATGCAGCGACGCCTAGCGAGTGCGCTGCGCTTCTTTGCGAATTTGAAATACCGTACCTCGGAATCCTTTTCATCGGCCTTCAGCGAGGCCGCCGGGGTGGTCCTAGCCGACTTAGTATAAAACGTGGAGCTGGGCTTGGGCGTCGCGTCGTTGTTGCGCTGCCTGACTTGCCGCTTGGCCTTCGGCGTGAGGTTGCTGGGCGTGCTGGCGCCGGCTGGCTTCTTGGGGGTTCTCCTGGAAGGAATCCGTCTGAAGCCAAGAGGCTCTGCCGCGTCGACGCCCACGCCGAAGAGCGCCTTGAGAGAGGCCATGCTACTGGCGAGGGCGCTGGTGGCGCTGCTGGGGTCACTATTCCTTGAGATGGTTCCTTCGTTCATGCTCTCCGGCCGTCGCTGGCCGCCGCTCAGCCTCCTGATGCTGTCGATGCTCCTTCTGCCGACAGTCTTCTTGCCGACGTCTTCCCTGCCGACGGAGGAGGCCGACCTCAGCACCACGTCGCCGTTGACCACGGCCCTCTTCTTGAAGGTATTGTTGTTGTTGTTGTTGTTCAAGGCTTCCATGGCGATGCGGATCGGCGTGGCGACCAGCATGTTCGTGTTTCCGGCGTTCTGCTTCTCCAAGGACACCACGTGCGGGTCCGAGTGCCGCTTCTTGTTCTCCCTCCGCGTCACCTTCAACTCCTTCTTCGCGGAGCGCAACATCGTAACGCTGCGAAGGCAACGCTTCTTTGCTCACTCCTGGGATATAACACAAAAATACACTGTTCACCAACGTTTTCACCGTTGCTCACAACGCGCTCCGGTACGTCACATATTGTATCGCAACACAGAATTCGAGTTCGTCCTCTACTTCGCACAGTCGCGACTAAAGTGACGTTGTGGCACGTACGAGTGTAGTTGGCACCGCCACCTTTGAGGGGGCTGGAGACGGGAGCCCCCGTCCCCGCGTTTTGCCGGAGGTGCGTGTTGGCGCCCTTGTCTATGTCACCAGTCCTCGGAATGGTGGCTCCCTGCTCCCTGCTCCTGACCCTCGCCGTGTCCACGGGCGGGACATGATCCTAGCGACCTCCAGCTGTTGCTGCTGTGATCCGTCTGAGCAAAGCAGGGCTGTGTCAACACGGGTTTATTAAGGCTGTCACATGCTCGCTCATACCCGCCTCCCCGCTCAATGCGCAACACTCTCCCTGCTCAGTCTCCGTCAAAACTGGTCTCCGCTCACGGAGCTCCCTTCCGTCAGACCCAGATAACCAGCGCGTTATCCGTTACGCCCGATAACTAG